TTTTTTTTGTCTTTTAGTTCGTAATTTTGTTGTGATGATCTGCCTCTTTTGGTTTATTAGTTACCTTGCATTAATTCAGATTTCTGAATGAGGATTGGTTTGGGATTCGAATGTTTTGGTTTTGTACTTTATGCTGGTTTTGGAATTTAAACGTGCAAGAATCTAGAGTGTTTAAAATTACTATATATAGAAAAAGTGTTTCCGGCTTCCATCTGGGAAGAATTAGTTTGAGTGTTTTCTGTTGATGCCTACCTGTGTTGCCAAAGAAAAAGGGGGATGGCTGCTTTCATTGCATTTATTGTTTGCTCCTTGTTTAATTTTTACTAAAAATTAGCATATTTACCAATTTGATAAACAGTCTTTTATGATTCAACTTTCTTAATTCCTATTCGAAAGACTACAAACTGCTTCTTATCTATTGTTAAGCTTCCCAACAAAATAAAAGTCAATTAAGCAGCAGTTTTTTAAAGCACTCTCTTAATGCTCAGTTACACAATTACATTGGTTGTGAACTACAAATATGGTTTTGAAGTGAGAAAGCTTTATGTTCATTGTTCATTTTTTTTTTTCTTTTCCTGAACTGGAACATGAATTCTCAAGTTTTTTAGTTCAAACTCTTCAAATATGTGTACAGAAAATTTTATAAATCATCTCTATATCATCGTGTCTTAGTTGTGAGTGCCACTTTTACTTTGCACCAAATACTTCTATTTGAAACATTTTCGTGCATGGCTCATTTGTCACTTGAATAAAATATATCAGATTAATGGTGAAGCCGCCGTCGTTAAAGAAGCCCTTTACCAAGTGGCATTTCGTCTTCACGATAATCCCTCCCGCTCACAGCATTCTCTATTGAGCTTGCCAAGCATCTATAAATCAGGAATCTCTTTGAATAATTCACATGCTGCCCCAACCTCGTTAATGGGCCCTTATGGTGGTGGGAATCACAAACATGACGGCCGGGATTGGTCTTCCATTCCCAGGGAATTCATGCTCCGTTTGGTCTGCCCCACTGAGAATCTTGGTGCCGTGATCGGCAAAGGTGGGGCCACTATCAAACAAATAAGGCAAGAAACGGGTGCGTTTATTGTGGTCGATAGTAATGGTGCGGATGGAGATGACTGCATTATATCCGTGTCTTCCAAGGAGGTGAGTGTAATTGAAAGAAAAGATAACCCATCTGTAATAATAATAGGGGATATATTGCAGGTACTATCCTCGAGGTTTGATCTAATTGAAAGGAACCTTAGGCTGTGTGTGGATTTTAAGTACATTGGGTTTGTGAAGTTTTCGAGTGTGTTCCAAAATCTAGAATTCATAATTGTTAGTTAATAATTAATTTAAAATTTCTAAATTTGTGAAAATGTAGAATTCGTAAACTTTTAGTGTATGCCTATAGTGTCTCTTTAGGCGTGTAGTGCGTCGATGTGAAATATGCAGTGTGTGTTTGTATATAGTTCAGCGGATTTGACAATACCTCATTTCCAAATTACTCAAAATCCAAGCACGCATATAATGTAATTACAATTTCCCCAGTAAGCTTTTGTTTCTTAACAAATATTTCCTATTGGGGTTGCGATTGGTAAAATAGAGACAATTACGATTGGGGTATTTATAATTTTAAAAAATAGCTGCATTCCTGGTGATTAGCTTTGTGTGATTAACCCTAGCAACTATGAACCGAGGTGTACTCAATTGTTGCTTTTGGGTTTCTCGTAATTAGACCAAGCTTATTAAGAATATGTGTATTGTAGTTGACCTAAATAACAATTAACGAGACTTAATCAACAAATGCCTTTGAACTTTAGATGCTCGAAGCTCCATCTCGAACAATTGATGCGATAATACGTTTGCAATCACGGTGTAGCGAGAGAGTCGAATGCAATTCAAATGAACTCGTGATCACAACTCGTTTACTAGTGCCTAGTCACAAGGTTGGATGCATCATCGGTAAAGGAGGGGCCATCATTAAAGAGATGCGAAGTACCTCCAGAGCAAACATTCGTGTTTTTGCTGATGAAAATGTCCCAAAAGTTGCATCTGAAGATGACGAGATGGTCCAGGTAAACTTTAATTTGTGCCCGTATCTTCCTTTTCTTTTGCCTTTTTTATTTTGATTTTCCCATGAGGTCTGGGTTCAATAAACAGTAAGTCTAGAGCTTTTTGAAAATTGGACAGAACTCCTTGAGAGTACCCCCTTCATCTTGCATTTGTAAATAATGTCACTATTAAACACTGCAATTTAAAGCATAATCATTTTTTTTCGGTATCTCTTGGTTTCTTCTGGGTTGTTCTTGTGATTATCCCATAGTAATTATTCATTTTGTTGTCTACCCTTTACGACACGCTCTCTGATCATAGCCTGTAACTCCTCGTTAATATCTCCTACCAGATTACAGGGGACTTGAGTGGTGCCAAAAATGCGTTGCTACAAGTAATGCAGCGCTTGAGGACCAACACATTTGAGACTGATGGGAGTTTACCGGCCTTTCCAAATGATGCATTTAACGGGCATAAACATGTCAATCGTGATAATAGGACACATAATTCAGGATATTCTGCTTACTCTGGTGGCTACGGCTCTAATAATTTACCACCAACTGAGAGTTTCGACAGTTATGACGAGTCGCAGGTAATTTTGGGTTTTGAATATTATTATAATTGGAGACTTGTCAATGGATGGCCATTCATCTCGTGACCCGATTTAAGGATATTTCCAGCATATGGCATGAGCAATTATTGTATCATATATGTTTAGGTTAATTGAAAAAGTACCCTCGAGCTTTGTCTAATTCCAGAAAACAAAAGAAATGAAAAGAAACACTTAGTGATTTTTCAGAACTGCATTATGTTCATCTCGTAACTGTGAAACATCATTGGATTTTCTTGTGAGTAACTTCATGGATAAGCTTTCATATTTGCCCCTTTTTTGTCTACTTCCCTGCCTTTGTTTCTTGAGCTGATACAAAGTTTGATGATTGCAGGTTGTGAGTGAAAGTGGCTATGGAGCGTATGGTGTTTATTCATCTGGAGATCACTCAACTGGTGCCGGGTAAATGTTCAATGGCTCTTAAACTTCATAGGTCTTCTTCGCCTTCTATTTCCCACCGTGAAAGGAGAAAGAAGAAAAAGAAAAGAATTGGGTAACAGCAGTTAACAGCCTATTTGCTGGCATTCGACCTTTTACTATATCAAAAATTGCCCGGTTTCAATATTTTGGATGGAAAACTATCCTCAGAACCTTATCTGCATACCCAAACCAAATGACAGTCTAAAGGCACCAGAAATTCTCTCTTAAACACATACTTTCAAACATACTTTCAAACAGTTGTAATTTGTGGAAAAGTGAAAAAAAACAAAGTCAAGGGAAATATTTGTAATTTTGAAAGATGAGTGATTGCTTTTATAGTATTAATTATTCTAAGCTTCACGAGTAGTTTTTGTAGTTAACCATTTAATTTTTCATGATTGACATGCAACTTTTTTATTTCCATTCGCTGGATATTCTGATCAACTTAATCCTATGTTTCCTTTCCCTATTCTCTCATGCCAAACAGCTATGGTGCATGAATGCCCAAAGCACGGAATAAAGAAAAAGAGAAGCAGATGGGCAGGCGATCTATCATAAAGTTACTCTTTCTGTTTTGATGAAACACATAATAGCTGGATATGGTTTTTGTACCATGGACACGTATTGAGTTGTTTTACGCTTTTCTTGAGTACTGTGACAGCTGAAGTTTGTTTCAGTTCGATAAGTCAGGATTTTGCTCAACCCTTTCCGTCTGTATAGTATTCGTCGGCTGAAGATTAATTCAATTCATCCGTTTGCCATATTAGCTATGAGATTTATTTGCAGCCTGTATGATTTCTTAATTTGAATTATTATGCATACTGGAAAACTTCATTGATAATCGCAGTTGAATGGTCGAAATTATAATTCTGTGCTTTGATTTTGAACTGTTAGTGATACATGAGTTTGGTTAGTCTTACTGAATATTGTTAGACAATATATCACTAACAGTTCAAAATCAAAGCACAGAATTATAATTTCGACCATTGAACTGCGATTATTACATGAGTTTGGTTATTGTCTTACTGAATATTGTTAGACAATATACAATAACAAGAAAACCAACATGCATTTAGGCTCATTTTTGTTTGAATTATACAAGAAAATTCCTTAATATAACTTGTAAGCCAACGTGTTCCCAAAATGGCGATTATTCAGAATTGTTTCTGAAGTCGTTTTCCATGGAAAGCTTACAGGCGTCTTGACACGTTGAGTTTGAGACCGTTCTCCATCGAAAGTATGGTAATCATCCTGTACATGACTTGATGGCCAGGCACCAGCTTCAACTCATAAAATGCACAAAATTGCGAGTGCCATTTTCATCTGCAGAGTCCTTCCCGATGCACATCCGTGGTCCCGCCTGTGCAAATACCCAAAAGCGTTTTACTCGTGCAGCTATAGCCGTCATACAAAGAAGCAGAATCACACACACACACACACACACACATATATCCTATATGTTTGTATATAGATTTGAAAGAACCTGGAAAGCAGTGAATTTAAATGGGGATGCGTTTTGGAAAACTCCATCTTTGAGCCATCTCTCGGGCTTGAATGAAGCTGCATCAGGCCCCCAGTTGTACTCCATTCTTCTCATGGAGTACGGTACGTATGTCACCATGCCCCCTGATTTCACCTTTGTTCCATCAGGTAAAACGTCGTCTTCTAAGATGCCCTTTGGATCCTGGTTACAAAACAACCTCACTATCTTCAAAAGATTTCGATACAAATCCTTTAAGGAGCCTTTTTTTTGTTTTTTTT